CCTGGAATCGCGGCAGGATACCTGATGCACTAAAGCCAGAATGCCAGTGCAGTGGTGATATAGGGGTGAGATGGGACCTCCAAATAATCAAAATAAAATAAGGGAAACATTGTGACCCCAACCTGCTAGATGCCTGGTACGCTGAGTTCACATTGTCCAAGTCAAAGAATTCATTCTAAGGAACAACAGAGGTTAAGTGCAGGAAATACATATTGAGGGAGAGACAGCTTCTAAGAGAGACAGAATGGGGCCTGGAAAGTGGGGCGCTGCCAATGCCACTTACTGGGGAGCCTCTATAGCGCAAAATAATAGGGTGTGTATAAGGTGGGACAAGACTATGACCAACCAGTAAGACTACAGGTATAGGCACTTGGAAAGACAAGGGCCTTTGGGCCAAGGAGCAGGGACTTGGTCCCCCACCAGGTGACTGATGCCTATCTAGAATATCAGTTGTCACCGCCTGTCCCTTAGGAAATGAGCTGCTTACCTTTGTCCTGAGGCCTGGCCCCCAGGAACGCACCTGCAGGCACAGCTTCCACACTGGCTTCGGCAGAGGCCTAGCCTTCTAACTGCCTATAATGTTTCTACCTAACTTAGCAGCCCAGAATATCAGCACAAGAAATATGGAAGAAGGTAACATACTGCCTCCAAAAGATTATAGCAACAGCTCTAAGAAACCAAAATAAATTATGTTACTGATAGACTTTAAAATAATGACTGTCTTAAAAGCTTAATGAAATCTAGAGGAGCACAGAGAGTCAAGTAAGGTTAGGAAGACAGTAGTGGGTGTGAAGGGGAAATTCATCCCAGAAAATGAACACACACACACACACACACACACACACACACACACATGAAAGCTTCAAAAACAGTCTTTCAGGTGGGAAGAAGAATATCTGACTTTGAAGAAATGTTTTTTGGAAAAGTCCACTCAGACACAAAGGAACAAGAGAGTGAACAGAGTATTCAAGGCCTTTGGAATAGCACTGAAGGAACAAGCCCCCACACTTTTGGAATATCTGAAGGCAAGAACAAAAATATTAAGGGCATAGAAAACCTGTTTGCTGAAATAATAGCAGAAAATGTTCCTAATCTGGGAAATATATGGACATCCACTTAGAGAAGCCTTATAGGATCCCAAGTAAGATGCACCCCCAGAAATAGTCACCATGGAATATTATACCCCAAATCTTCAGAACACAAGACAAATCTAAAACCTGGAAAATAAATGCACTAAGGCTCCCTTAAGGATATCCTTGTTAGACTAACAACAGAAAATGTCTCAGCAGATTTCCTATAGGCCAGAAGGTAATAAAATGACATATTTCAACCCCTGGAACAAAATAACTGCCAGCCAAGGTTATTATATTCAGCAAAGCTATCAATTTCAAATAAAAGAGAAAGTCCTTCTGAGACAAGAATGGAAGGACCGTGCGCCCACCAGAGCCACTCTACAAGGGATGTGTAAGAGAATCCCACATCCAGAAGGGACAGGAAGGTCACCATCAAGGTGTGCAAAATGAAAATCCCACTAAAAGAGCGCACACAAAAAAAGAATCAGAAAATAACACCTGATAAAATAAACCATCAGGGCTAGGGAGATGGCTCAGTGGAATAAGTGCTTCCCTGGCAAGCGCACTACCTGAGTTCAATCCCTGGTTCCGCCAAAAAAATAAAATAAATAAAAAATAAACCATCAGTCTACAAGTAAAAGAGGAAAAATTAATATACAAAACAATTAGACCATAATCCCCAAAATATTACAGTAAATCCTTAGCTATCAGTAATAAGTATGAATATAAAAGGACTAAATTCTCCAATTAAAAGAGGTTGGTTAAGTGGATTATGTTTTTAAAGTCCCAACAATATGCTGCCAAAGAGAAACTCAAAGTGAAAGAATAGAAAATGACACTTGAAACAAAAGCAAGTAGGAGTACTTAAGTTTACATCTGATAAAATAGACTTTAAGACAAAAGGAGTTAAGAGACAAAGAAGGTCACTCTAAGAGTCAAACGCTGAATTCATCAAGAAGATATAATGCTTGCTAACATATACGCACCCAGTGCCAGAGCATCCCATCTTATAAAACAAACAGCAATGTTTTAGACATAAAGGGAGAGAAAGGCCCCAATACAGTAGCAGCAGGGGACTGCAACACTTCGCTTGAATGGCGCACAGATCCTCCGGATCTCCACCCCACAGAGTCAGCAAAGAAACATCAAGGTTAAGTCACACTGCAGACGAGTAGACTACGGCGCCCCGGTGAACAGGAAAGCCAGCGCTCTTTTCATGAGCATGTGGGACGTTCTCTAAGGTTGTGTATGCAGGCCACGACACAGGTCTTAAGAATACTGAAGCCAACCAAAGAAAGGAAATGATAAATGTTATATCAATGTACAGAGTTAAACAATGTAGTTTTGAACGAACTGAAAAAAATCAGTTGAAGGTCATTGAAGAAATCAAAATGAAGTTTTAAAATTTTTCAAGTTAATGAAAATGGAGAATTAACACCAAAGCTCACAGGATCCAGCAAAAGAGGAAAATGTATAGCAATTAGTACCCATGGGGAGAAAAAACTCTAATAATCTAATGATACTTCTCAAGGATTAAAAATGCAAGAACATGACGCTGGAGAGACAGCTCAGCAGACTAAAGCTCCTGCTTAGGCAAACTTGGGCCAAGTGCAAGGACCGAGGTTCGATCCCCAGCACCACATAGGGCGGGCTGAGCTGGCCAGAGTCCTGGTGTAGTGGCGCACACCTATAATCCCAGCGCTGGGAAGGCTGAAAGCAGGAGGATCACCACGAGTCCGAGCTGCACAGTGAGACCCTGCAACACCAAATACATTAAATAATTAAATATAAAAATTATTACAAAACCAAGAACAAACCAAACCCAACATTAGAACAAAGTAAAAAATAAAGCATCGGAGCAGAAATAAAAGCTATAAAAAGATTATAAATGTCAACAAAACAAAATGTTTCTTTGAAGAGATAAAATTAACAAACCTTTAGCTAAATTAAACAAGAAAAAAGACCCAAAAAATGAAAACAGAGATGAAAAGGAAAATATTATAGCTGATTCCACAGAAATACAACGAGTCATTACTTAAACTGTATACTAACAAATTTTTTTTTACAAATTTTAAAATCTAGACAAAATGGACAGATTTCTAGACATATGTGACCCTCAAAACTGCCCCTGAGGACCTAAATTAGCTAGATCAGACTAGAAACTAGTAATGAGGCTGGAGCAGTGGTAGTCTCCTAGCACAGAAGGGTCCAGAACCAGAGGCTTCCTTGCTGAATTTGACAGAACTTGAAAAGAACTGGCATTAGCTCTTCAGGAATGCCCAGAAAGCTGAAAGGGAGGGAACACTTCTAACCTCATTCAGTGAAGCCAGCATTTCCTCGTCTATTAGGAAAATCAGACGAGGACATAAGAAAAGACCAACGAAAAAACAATAAACCAAAGTCCCTGGTGAACATGGATTCAGACATTCTCAACACAATACTAGCATATCGAGGTCACTTACCATGTTCAAGTGGGCTTCATTTCAGGGATGCAAGGATGGCCACTATGACAAATCAACAATATATCAGTAGAATGAAAGATAAAGATGGGAGCATTTCAAGAAAAGGCATTTGATAAAACTCAGCATTTCTTCATGATAAGAAAACTTCAAAATACCAGGAATCAAAATATTCCTCTATAGTAACAAAGGCTGGCTACACGAGCCCGCAGCAGCATTGTATGGAATGGGGAGAACAGAAAGCACTTGCAGGTCCTAACCACGAGCCTGGCCGCCCTCGCTGCTCCTGTTCCATTCTGTGCTGCAAGTTTTAGCCACAAGCAGGCAAGAGAAAGCATAAAAGATATAGAAATGGGAAAGCAGAATGACAACATTCACCATCTACTGATGTGACTCGCTGTACAGAATGACGACTTCGAGCGTCTGCCAGAAGAGTCATAGAACTAATAAATTCAGTGTCGTAGCAGGACGTGAAGTCAACTTACAAAACTCAGTAGGTTTTCTATACATCAACAACCAGTTCTCTGAGAAAAGAATCATGAAATCAGCCCCCCTCACCATGGCTACCAAAAATAAACAAAAAGCCTAGGAAAATCTTATACAAGGAAGTGAAAGACTTAGACAATAAAATTTACCAAACAAGGAAACTGAAGATGCACAAATATGTATGTCTATAGACTAGAAAAATTAATATTTTAAAATCTCCATATTACCCAAAGCAGTCTACAAATTTAATGCAGTGATGCTCTTCACAGAACTAGACAAAAAGCAATCCTAAAATTAATATGGGATCACAGATTACCCTAAATAGTCAACACAATCATGAGCAAAAGTCCTGAGACTGCAAGTTAGAGGAAGCTCAGGTTGTGGCTATAACAGCAAAGGTGGGGACAGACGTACCATTGTCCCTCTGCATTCATGGAGCATCTCTTCCAAGATCCCCAGTGGGTACCAATATGTGATGCTCGGGTCCAGCTTTTAGAGTAGTACCCCACTTGCATAAGACACTGCGTAGAACACACCCACATTGTCCTGTGTACTTCACCATCTCGATGCCTTACGTGAAGAACGTCAATTTTACATAAATAGTTGCTTAGGAAAGATGACAAGAAAAAGACTTCCATATTCAGTAGAGACAGAGCTCCCTTTCATACATTTCTGGCCTGAGAGTGGTTGAGTACAAGTGTGCAGCCCCTACTGACAGGCACGGTGTACTGTGTGCTCTTCCAGTTGTCTAGTACGTTCCAGAAATGCTGGTGGCACAAATGCCAGAGTATTTCATCAGGCTGTGCCAGGAAGCAGTCACAAAAAGCAAACGTATTTGTGGCTCAGAATGATAGCTGTCTGATTCACTTAGAATCCAAATCCTTATCAGTTTAATTTCAATTAACACCATCATCTCGCATAAGTACCTCGTAGAAGTCATGTTTACATGTGACAGTTCACAGTGTCCCCTTCTGTCTTCCAGGATCAGTACAAGTTCTGCTATGAGGTGGCCCTGGAATACTTGAACTCTGGCTGACAGCAAAAGTGGCTCTGCAGACCAACCCTCTCCCACCGCTGGACCGAGCTGGCCGCGGCGTCCGTGTAAATGAGATGCAGACTTCTCAACGTGCTTACTCTGCTTTGCATAATCGGCTCTTATTAAGAGCCACGGAAGTGTTTATGAACTGCTTGCACTGCCCAATTCCCAGCCATGCTGCTGCCTAACAGAAACACAGAGCATACAGTTGTCAGATGCTGTCCAGCTCCTCACTGTCACTGGCTTGGTAGAGTGGCACGGACATCTGTCGACTGAAGAGCACAATTATATTCTTATGAAGGAATTTGTACCTTTGGGTATTTTTTTGTGGCCCGTGATCCTCCTATTGTTACAGCTCCGTGTATGTTTTTGTTCTGTGGAGAATGCTACCTGGCATTATGATAATATATTATTTTAGTTAATATTTGTATTTTAACATGTCACATAATAGCTTACCTAGCTTTCCAGGACTAACCGGGAACCGTGTAATGAACAAAGCTATGTTGTAGGAGTTGTCGTTTCAATCAGATTTGTATGGTTTTCAAGGGAAAAGCTCGGGAGGACTCAGTTCAAAACTGCGACATGGTCAGATTCACAAATCCAAAGCTTTCCCATGTGTTTATATTGTAAATATTTTTGATTTCATCAAATTATTTATTCATTAAAAGAATTTTTGTGAAGCACAGTGAGTGACAATCATTTTTATGAAACCCTGGAAATGACTGATTGTATGACCTTACTTTGTGTGAATTCTCAATAAACACTGACCCATACCACTTGTGGTGTATTCCTGGTGTCCCAGGGCACTGGTGGAGGTCACCCCGTAACACGAGACTGCAGGCGTGGATGACCTGGGGCCTTGTCCTAGTCCACACTGTGCTTCTGCAGCAGGAAGCGCAGCCCGGGTGATCTGTAAAGAAACTGGCTTCTGGAGACTAGGATGTCCGAGACGGAGAGGCTGCATCTGGTGAGGCTTTTGCTCTGCATCACAGCGCGGCAGAAGTGCAGGTGGGCACCGGGAGGTCAGGAGCTTCTGGAACAAAGCCACTCTCAAGGCAGCTTGCCCACTGCTTCCTCAAGGGCCTTCATCCATTGTGGTCATCTCCCAGCACTGCCATGTGATAGTCAAGCATCAGCATGAGTCTTAGAGGAGACACGCGGTCACAGCAGGCCTGGCCGCCTAGCACAGGCATAGTTGGGGCTGTTGAGAGAGAACTTTGTCAGGCAGGCTGTAGGCTTGTCACTGTGGCCTGACTTGTATCAGGGTCACCAGGAGCACGAGTGCTGATGAGGATGGACAGGTGCCAGAGCAGAGGCTCACTGGCTGGAGATGTCTTCCCTCCAGTGCCACCTCCTGAAAGGGGCCTCACACCTGTCCCCTCAGCCTCACCCTAACCAGAAGCACACCAAGAGCACGGTTGGTAAGCGGTTGGGGTCAGTGCATGGCGGGCCAGCAGGAAGTGGTGCTGAGGCCACTTCTGGGGAGGAGCAGGCACGACGGAGCCCGTAGGAGGGCGTCAGGAGATGCTGCTGGAAGCCAGATAACACAGTGGGCTGGCTTGGCTCTTTCAGGAGAAGAGATCACTGAGCTGGAAGTGATCACAAGGAACGATCCAAAAATAAAGTCTGAACAGAGGATGGGGGTTAACTATTGGAGTCTCTCTGAACTGTGCCTTAATGGGGTAGAATATATTTGAGGCGATACTGAGCAAAAATCTCCAAGCTGGGTGGAAATTATAAACCCCTAGATCTGAGATGCTCAGCTCACCCAGCCTCAGCGTAAGGATCATGAAGACCCCCAAAGCACAGTATAACCAAATTGCCTGAAACCCTGACTCATGACCCTCATGCTCCAGAAAAATTTCATGAGCCACCAGAGAGCAGACACATGTGCAGGTAAGAGGCACAGCACAATCTTTTGAATTCTATACCCAGCAAAGACACTTCCCAAAGCAATAGCAAAAAAAAAAAAAAAGTCCAACATACAAAATTTGAAAGAATAAAGGAAATGATCTCATAAAGAAATCTCACCAACACAGGAATAAAGACACTGGAAGAGCTATAAAAGACCTTTCCTTAAATACCATTAAAAGATAATTCACTAGAACAAAGGAACAGTATATGGTTTACAGCATATCTGAAACAGGGAAGGATGGAAAGCCAGAGGCACTGTGCTGTGAATCTTGTCCATGCACAAAGGAGTGTGACACCAGTACAAGGTGACAGTGATTAGTTAAAGATCATACTATGAATGCCAGAACAATCAGGAAAACACACTCAAGAGTTACAGCTACCAAGCCCAGGGAGGATATCAAGTGGAATCGTAAAAGCGACTCAATTTCCAAACAGAAAGAAGAAGGAAGAAAATGGAACAAAGAACAGATGGGACAAGTAGAAAATGAAGAGCAAGCAGTAGCTTTGAGCTCAGCTCTATCAATAATCACATTAAAATGTAAATGGGCTAAACACCCAAAGTAAGAGTCAGAGATTGCCAGATTACAAAGGGGGAAAAACCAACACCCAACTATATGCTGTCTATAAGAAATCCATTTTGAACATAAACAAATTTTAAAAACACCCATCTGCTTTCCTTAATATATCCAAGCTGCTGCGTGCTACTAGGGAAGAATTACACCAATGGGGATATTATTGCTGCTATAACTTCATTACATCCATCCTTCTACTTGCATTCCCTGTGGCAAATAGTCTAAGACTACCCCATACTTGCAACAATACCTGTTTCTTTCTTCACAGAAAAAAGCAAACAGACCTCAGCTTCCCCACCTCCTTCCTATAACGGTATCTGTCTCCATGCTCACCCCTACCTCCTAGTCACCAAATTCAGAGAAAGGCCCAAAGGCAACAAGGCCAAGTGGCCATGGGCTCGCTCCTCCAAAAGTGTGAACCAAAGTCAAGCTTCCTGCTTTGTCAGTTGATGCTACTCTGCTTTCTGTCTCTGTGGCAAAATGTCTGAGGTAATCAATTTAAAAAGAAAAGTTCGGCTACACTGCGCCGGCGGGACCAGTCCCAGCCCAGGCGCA